ATTGCTGTTGCTGTAGGCATAGCTGATAATTGTCGTCAAATGGTTACTTTTGCTTGTTAATTTGTCCGAACACGCTGATTAGGTCCTAGTCCGCTGCATATTCCAAGCCTAGCGTACATTGCTCACTAAATACTTCAACAACTGTTTACAAAATTCTGTGTGCTCAGATGATTGGTAGACACTTCTTCATGCCACAACAATACTTCACGTTAAGGAGTGAACGATCAGAAATAGAAAATAGTTGACCACCCAGTAAACGCCACCGGTGGCAACATCGATGCCCAAAGGTGGCGAATAGGGGTGGCATGTTACGCTTGCCACCGGTGGTGTGGGAGCTGCAGCTCTGGCTCAACCACAGACACTATTGTTGATCGGTTGGCTCCGAAGGACACGCTGATAGTTCTGTCATTATAAACCAAAGTTATGGCTACCCATGAACACAACATACTGTAATATGCACGCTATGGAAGCACCAGGGGACAGTGATTCTCCGAAGGCAGGTGTTCGCGACAATTTCTGTGGATGGAAAACAGAAACAAAGCTCATGAGCCAAAGCCCAGTAAGCACGGTTGTACATCACCAATCCTTACATATGAATCAATCAACAACGCATACTACAATACTCCAATTGTTTACACGTTCAAATAATTTCAAGGTCGGCCCCTATCAATGACCTTGAGTTCGACCCAACACATACGTAGTCACGGATTCACATAATAACGCAGAGGATCGAGGCTTTCGACGATTTTTCCCGAGTCTGATCTCTTCTTGTCGTTCATTGAATGGCGGAAGTGAAAAAAGTGTAATACTGCCCTTTATGCTGTCAGCGCGGGGCAGATTGCTTGCCAGCGCGAGGACTTGCATAAATAAGTCTAATGGTGCTTTGAACTGGGTTCTGGAGGGAGCGTGGACAAACGTCTCAGGAAGGTTATTCCACGCAGCTACTAGCCGAACTGAAAAAAATTGTTAATGAAAGTTTGCGTTCTGAGCTTGAAAATCTCACTATGTCCCCGCTGTGTATTTGCTGGGTCAACGGCGAAAAAGATTTGAACAAGTCTTGTTCAGGGTAAAAGTAAGAATTAGGTGCCTTCGAATGCGACAACACTCCAGGAGAAAGGGGTCAAGCACTGTGAGACGCGTTTCGTAGTCCACGGATATGGGGCCGGCAACCATTTTCGTGGCGCCTCGCTGGACGCCCAATGAGGATTGGGCCTTTCGTACGTCCTGAGTAAGCAACTTGGTTGGCATATTCAAGGAGCGGTCCCACGTAGGCACCATGAGGTATTTGGAAGTCCATGTGACTAATACGGGGGAAGGTGTGCCGAATCATCTGTAGAACGGTGAATGCCTTACAGCCCAACTTCTCATGGTGCAGTGAGAAGGACAATTTCGGAGAGAGCCAGACACAAATCTTTTTTGGCATCTGTCCTCGTGATGTCTCCTGGTCCTTTCTCACCATGCACGACAAAGGCATTCGCTGAGTCTCCTCCAAATGATACACGGACGCACTTTTCATAGTTCAGAGGAAGGTGCCAGTCCGAGGGCCACTGCTTTGCAGCGTCTACATCCATTTGGTGGGCACTGGCATTGGAACTCCAGGATTTCAATTCGTCCACAAACAGTAGATCTGGACTTGCAAGAACGTCTGGAAGGTCTTACCTTATGTCAGGAACTGGAGTGGTCCCATAACAGAGCCTTGGGGAACTCTAATGGAGACCGGCGCCGGGAAAAGTAAGTAGAATTTACCTTCACTCGGGAGGATCTGTCTGATCAAAACGCTTTGGCCCAATGCAGGATCTTCCCTTGAATCCCATAAGACTCGTGTTGTTGGAATATCAGAACGTGTCGGACCTGATAAACCGCTTTTGATAAGGCGAAATATATAGCATCCGATATAAGCCCTTCGCCCTTGGCCTGGGCTAAGCAGTCCTTAAACACGAGTATGTTCGTCAAGCAACAAAGGTCGGGGAGAAATCCGTGTTGAGCGGGAAATAGAGAGTTGTTGAAAGTAGGGTGACCTAGGATAGCTCGCTTCAGAGTGCGTTCCATCACCTTGCACGGCACGCTAGTTGGGCTTATAGGTCTATGGCTGCCAGCCGATAGCCGGTCACCAGTTTGTAATTTGGCATGACAATCGCTTCCTTCCAACCAGAAGTAAGGCGGCCTTTGTCATGCGGCTGACGAAACACCAGGCAGAAATAAGTTTCCAGTGTATATAAAGTTTCCTTCAGGATCATTGAATTGAACTCGCCGGGACCCAACGCGCGGAGTGGATTAATCTTGTGCAAGAGTTGACGACTGTCCTCCACCATGAGGACCAAGTCGGATAGTGGCCGTTCGTAATTAGGCCTTGACGGGATTGGCTGTGACGAGAACGCTGGGGCTGGATACAGACCTGCATAGTGCCCTCTCTCTGGGTCACTCGTGCGTTCTCCATTCCTGTCCTCAAGGAGACCGGGGATGGCTTGATTCCGCGGAAATTTCTCGTGCATTTGAAAAGCACATTTCTGTTTTTCTGGACATGTTACAGAATGATGGCTCTTTTACGCAATTTCCATTGGCGGGTTCCCGATTTACAGCTATTCCGCACTTTACAAAATGCCAGTTCATCTTCTGTCTTCCATAGTCATTTTTTGAAACATAGTTGCGGCCTCTTTCACAGAAGATGCCGAATCCTTTAGATAGCTTGCAGCTGCTCCGACTGCGTGTTGTTTGTTTGGGACGAGCACCGCGTCGGCCTCTTCAACCTATTTATATATTTTAGACTTCCACTGAAAATGGTCCCAGTTTAACTCTTTTGAGGAAGATGCGCATAGCTGAAAAGTTTCGAATCCGGGTTTGAGATTTGGGATTGCTGGCCTTATGACAGAATAAATCAGAAACCAGTACATAGTGGTCGCAAAATCCCAGTGGATAATTAATTATTACCTGATCGACGAAGTATCAATCGTTGGTTATGACAGAATCCAGAAGGGATGATAGTTGATTTGCCGAAAAAGAGTAGGTCAAGCTTACTTTCACGCGAACTGTCCTATAGAAGCTATAATCGTAAAGATCAATGGCCAACTGATCAAAAGCCCATATCCCTTTATTGGTGACCATAGTCTGAAGTGAAGACGAACAAATAATCTTTCGTCTTTGAGTTAAACTCATAAACCCCACATTTGGGGACGATTGTGCGTTCTTGAGAGGTTGGACGACGACCTCTAGGGGTGCGTCAAAGACGACCGGCTGACCTAGCTCAATGAGTAGCTATACATATGTAGTAGCTGCAGTCGTATAAAATGCTCAAGATTGTATTGCAGGGAAGTTCTGAGTGGTTTAACCGACAGGCTGGGACATCGTAGTCACCTCTCCCTATGTGGAAGGAGTCGTAATGCCCTATAAATTGCCATTTTACTTGGTGAAGAGGAAGTCCGAATTTCACTGGTCAGTCCAGAAACACGTGGATCAAAAGCAGGTTTTGTGCCATGCTATCGGATCTGTTTAGAAGAATAAAGGAAGCCAGGAGCATGGGGATGAAAATGCTTCCCAAATTATTGTCAGTCAAAGGGCTTTAAAAGCGAAGTCAGAAGGGGTTAAGTAGATCAACAACTGTTGTGGCTTTTTGGTGGGAAAACAACACTTTCCTCCATCAAGAGGAAGAATAGCTACCGAGGCTGAAAGTCCGACAATCTTGGCCTCTGATGTACATAGTAATTTGAGGCGAATCGGCTAGTTGAGAGCGATAGACCGAAATCAAGTTTGAGGCAAATTGCTGGCATTCCGTACAGGTATGTCGCCATTTCTGTCCTGGTAATCAAACGCCTGAACGTATACAACGGTGATTCGACAAAGTGCTCAATTTGAAAAAGCCATGTATCGATCAAGGATGTAGGATCTTGGATCCATGGATAACTGGTTTGGCGCAATTATCCAAGGCATTCGCGCAAATTACAGCAAAATTTAAGAGACATCTCAGCTAAAGCATCCGGACAAAAACAGCGGTGTTAATTGTACTGCATTAAACGATTTGCATTTGTGGCATCATGGTCAATTCGGAGCGTTGGGCACATTTTCCATCAGTTGTCCGAGAAGTTGTCTCAAGTTGTCCTGTTCACATCAGTACACCCGCGTTTTGGACAGGAAACCATATTGAAGGGTGCTTACTTCGGTTCATGGATCCGGGTTGTTGCTGCGACTGGTGTTGTGGTAAGATCAACTCTGCGGGTAGATCAACAGGTCGCTTGCGTAACCGTGGACGGACCTAATCACACTGCTTGTGATTAGGTAGTACTCAATGATCCGGAAGACTTAGCCTGTTGTTTCGTGAATAGGGTCGCTCAATCCTTAGTATATTAGAATCCTAATATAGGCTGGTCTGCAAAGCTTGAACAACTCTCAGGATAAAAATCGTTGTACAGCGATTTGAATTGCGTCGTAGGTGCACTTCACCAACGTAAAAAGGAAGGATATTCCGCACCCTAGGCTCAGTGATGGTTGACGCCTTAGTCTTGCAAAAATATTAGTTCTATTTGTCTATGATGAGAGACGATGAATTTAATCGTCTATGACCTCCTGGTCAAACAGGATCCCCCTGTCACACTCCTTAAAATCGAAGCACTCTGCCGCAAGATTTTAAGGTCTAAGCACATTTCACAGCCAACGAGTTTCAGAAATTTAACCGAATTTTTGACGGTCCAATGAAAGCTCCCAGTAGCTGCTTGCTGATAGTCTGTTTGGCGTAATTTATGGAGCAGTGGCGTATGGGCTCCACGTAGTCTCTGAAGGTCTATATGAGGCTGTGTTAAAAGCAGCAAGTCATCTACGAAAAGAGCGGTTTTTGCAATTACTGTGATTGCAGGGGACAAACGCTGAGGAAGCTGGGAGCCTCAATCGTTTCCGCATATAGCTTGGTAATGCCTACTTGCTCACGCTCCAAATTCGAAAGCGAGAGAGTTTGCCAGGTGTGAATGTTCTATCCGGTCAAATAGTCTCTACCTTGCTGCGCCCATACCCACTGAAGTTGTTCTGGCACCGAAGCTTAAAGTCTGCATTCAGTCCGCAGAGAGCACATACAATCAGGTGGCTTTGGGTTTCCTGATTTGGTCCCAAAAGGGGAGCGAATGGCTTGGTTCTCGAATTGACCATACGCACTTGAAAAGCGTTTTTTGTTTATTCGGGTGCGTCACAGGCCGTCGTCACAGTCTATCGTAAACCAGTCTAACGAATCGGTGACCGGTTCACCCTCCGGATTTCCTGGGTTTGCCGTTTCGGGGAATATCTTATACCCTACTATTAAAAATGATGAAGCCTTCAGTCCACCTTCTAGACTAACTAAATGCGCAATGGTTGCTCTGGAACGGAAAACGTATAAGCTCCATGCGGTTTGTGGATCCAACGTAAGTTACCGAAATACGACATTTCTTGGCGGAGGACAACTGAAATAGACCACACTTTAAGTAACGTTGACTACAATTCCCGCGCCTAACTCAGAGGTTCAAGAGAGTGAGTTGATCTAATCTCTCTCTATCGGCTTATGTGGCATAAGCAACTCCATCGCGCTTATAGCTGGTTTATGTGGACACTTGGACCGTCGCACCACTGTTAGTTTTAGTCACTCCATAATAACTGAAAAATTTGTCGGTATTGTTCTGAAAGGAGGCTCACTTTCAAGAACAACTGTTCACCAGGTTAACCAATCAGTCGGTGCAAATTTGACGCGTTTTGCTGCAGCTATCTATGCCTTGTTATCTCAGACGGTCTACAATCAGGACAACCAGCTTGACGAGTCAAGATTTCCAGAAATATTTGTGGGCCGTCCATGGTTAAAAGTGAAAAATGCATTTCCAGTTAGACATACCGCCTCTGAGGAGTGAGATGAAGGGAGATATGTGGTGTTTTAAGAAAGGAAAATTATCCAGCAATCGTCACCTCGAGTTGAGACAGAAAGGGTGGCAGAACTTAGCCTGACACCCCGCTGGCGATTATGAGGCCAGCTTGATGGCTTCCGCTGTCTATGTCAGCGTGAATTATGCTGCTGTAAACACTTTGCTCTAAGAAAGTAAACAACAGTAGCACTACCCGCACAAATTCCTTCATCCTCACCATAGTAATCCTAAAGGAGGTGGTGCTAGGCTTAATTGAATTATTAGATCTACCACGTTTGAATAAAAGTCCCATGAGAATGCAGTGTTGTACTCAACCATTGTACATTTAAGAACAAAAGTGCCTACAAACACGACACGATTACCCAATCTTGAGTTGATAGGGGCTAGATTGGCTTCGCGTGTCTCCACCGGAGTCTGGGCGACCCCGGTTTTAAGCTTGAACTGGAAGGTACTCGTGCGTAATTTCGGAACTTTTCTAGGTAAGCTCCGTCAAAAAATAGCTCTCGCCAACCAAAAATAATTAAAAGAGAGGATATGAAACTAGCAATTTCAGTTTTTATTGAAGAGGGTGAAACTGGGACACGTTATCATTAATTTCCATGAAAAGGTCCATTCTTCGGTACACTTGCATCGCCCTGCATGTTTTTTACGGCGAGATATTAGCGTTTCATCGATCTCGACGTGCAGACCTGGGCCGCCGATAACTGTTGGAGTCCGCAAAAGCCGCCAGGCGCAAACTTCGCGAAGAAAGTTCTTCCAGTCAACAGTGGTCATGTGGCTAATAGATAATTACACTGAGTAGAATTTGATTCTTCTCAACTTTTTGGACCACCAATAAATGGATAGAATTACTGTCATAATTTCCATAGTTGGTCACTCTAGCGAAGTTCCCTTTCGAAGACCGATTTCTTGCTGACACTGTCGGGCATTACAAATCCACCTGTCAGAAACAGTTAAAAGTGTTATTCGGTGGCCATTGTTGCACAACATTTGAGGTTTTACGTCCGAACGGATAAAATGTTTGCACAAAATGAGCCTAGGTGCGGATACGGAATTGATTTGATCAAAAATAGGTCAAGATTGTGTGGTACATTAAATTGGAGCTGGCAAAATATGGCGGGATTAACTTTTCGCACATGCACTTTTGTGTTACTAGCGGGGCTTATCCGGATAAGATCCGGAACTTTTCGGAGTGTAGAACTACGTACGTTGTCCTCGTGCTGCATCCAAAGAAGTGGGGGCAGTCGAGGGGATGAAATTGTTTTTTATTTTCTGCCTGCGACTTATGTCTGAGAAGCGATCCGTATTATTTCCGATAAACAGGAGCCATTATTAGTTTTGATAGTTTTGTTAAACTTTTTGACGACCGGTCACAGGCAGTTATCTGGACTGTCATCCACTTGGCTGCTGGAGATATGAGGACGTGGAACACAGGATTCGGTGCAGAGAAGAGGGTGAGGGCAGCTTGGCAGTTGGCCCACTTGATCAAACTTCAAGCCAATGCATTTAAGGCGTTACCAATTCGCATAAGAGTGACGCTCTATATCGTGTCTAGAAACAGGTGAACCACCGTTTGACGCACATTTGTTCAGGTCCACCAATAGTTTTAATTCGAACATATCTTTGCAGTCTGATCAATGCTTGTGGATAAACGGGCACAAATTAGTGAGTGTATGTGGACAGAAAGTCTGTAAGCTATCGGCGAGTGCGAAACGTTTGCAGAACTGACGCCAAATAGCCCAGTGAAGTGGTGAAACGGTGGAATGTTTGTAAGAGCATGCGGACGAGGAAAAAGGAGGTCAAATGCGGACGTGCTGCCCTTCATTGGGCCTTATCAGCCCCTTCTTGTTATCCATGTCGAAGTTATGGTCTGGGCAAAACCAGCGCGGGGTCTAGAAAGACGAACCTTCATGTGCTAGCTCGCACTTCTGCCTGCCGATGGCGTAGCACAGGTTCTGACACGGAGCATTCCCATAAGCTGAACTGGTTCAGGTTTTATGTCAGCAAAAGGGGAACAAAGACTCAGGTTGTTACTAAGGGGGGGACATGTTTGTATGTTTCCTTCAAAAGTTTGCAGGCAGCCTCTAACTTTGATCCAATTTTTTCCTTCAATCCCTTCTCAAAAGCTTGGTGTTCTCTTAAGTTGCTAAGTGTGTTTGATTCGTTTCTACTCGGACACTTAATCCACATTTTTGCTGGAGCTATCGCTTATTCTACGAAACAGATTGAACTGATAAACTGTACGCCTATGCCTCTATAGCTACTTGTCACCCGGATTTCTAACAGCTTCACTGACCAAATCGCCCTGCCTAATTCGTGGAATAAGTGTCCAATACAAACTTACGTGCAAGGTTTCAGTGACTGTTGTTAGTTTGTAACATGTATCAAGAAAATGTCTGCAGGGTAGGGATGAATCAACCAAAGCCGTGATTTTCGCAAGTCAGCCGGTTTCCGATTGGTGGAGTCTGCCGATGCTTCAGACTATTCTCATTGGTTTACTGGAACACAATCAGTCGAACGTAAGTGTGCACGATGGAGGGCTTTGCGTAGGTTGCTTCCGCTAAGGAAAATCGTCCATTACTGCTGAGGTGTCGCATAAGTAGCCTACGTCTTTAGCCAGCAAGCAGCTCAAATGCGGATTGATTTGACCATTCGTACGCAAATTAAGAATAGTTTAACATTGTTAGCTGTAATGTAACCTCGCCCGCCTAAATGTCCTTGTCCAAGGTCAACCTATGTGTATCGACATGCAAGATTAAAGAATAATTACAACTGGCCGGACCAACTGGTCTACAGAACGAGGAAAGTGATCGATTCTTGTCGCAAAAGACATAAGTACGTTTGTCAGTTCAATAATACGCTGATGACTGTGATTTTGTGAATATTTTCTTAATTTACTTGTCTGACGGCGATGACTGCTGGAGAGGTGCTCGTTCTTTAAGTACCGCTGGATTCGTCCACCTGCATCAACAGGTATAGTCAGGTCGGTTCACCTGTGAAAGACTGACCGAAAGGACATTGGGAGAACGAGAAAGAAGTCACAGAGTGATACACCGGATCGAGGCTTTAGTCCAAGTTTCCCGGGTGGGTTTTGTTCTTGTCGTTCAGTCGAGTTTTAAGAAAACTCTTTCTAGTGAGGTTATGATCGGCAGCTGAGTACTGTGCAATCCAGCTATGACTGACTGGTCAGCAGTCTGATTCACTGGTTCGTGGACTGAAAAAGGTGCCACGGATTTTATTCATCACACGATTTACATGATGCCGTATTGATTGGCACTTCGAATGACGCAAGGCTCTTGGGACTTGTTTGGTTCTATCCCCCCCCCAAAATTGGATTACTTAATATTTTTGAGGAGAGCTTTCAGTTTCATTCACACCGTAGGTGAGGCACTCGTGGCCGATTAGTATAGCGTTTAATTGCTGACCGGTAGAACGGGGGTACCAATTGCCTTAGGGGCCGCTAGCACATATACACTGCCGTGGGGCTTCAGCAATAGTTGCATGGTGCTTCTGGGTTTTTGTCCACATAAGAACTCCAGTTGCAGGAGACGATCCAAAGAAAAGCTTAAGGAGTGCTTCTACTCGGAGAACTGATGGGAATTCAGGCGAAGCTGTTCCAAAAATGTGTTTGTTGTACTTAGAGAAATACACTCATTTGCAAACTAATTTGGGTTTGTGAGAGACTCACCTGGAACCCATCTGAATCTCTTGTTTGTGATGCTTCCAGGCAACTGAATGTGCTGTACCAGGCTGCCTTATATTTCAATCGAAACGCCATTCGAGGTATCGCCTAGAAGAAATCACAAAGGAGTGATCCAGCTGCGTTCAAGGTGAGTACCTGAAAAACCAAAATTAGTTTGCAAACGAGTGTATATTCGCTAATTTCGTTCAATTCGGTTTCAAGTTGAACATAAGGTTGACGGAAATCCGGGGACTGCGCCTAACTGATGAACCCCAAGAAGGGTGAAACCGGTCGTGGGCTGTCGACGAATTTTCAGCAACCTCATGAGTAGTGCATTACAAATATGTTTGGTGTACTGTTGTGTTCACATGAAAGAAGACAGCATACCAAAATGAACTGACATGTACCTACGTGATTTCGTGGTGTTATTCTGTCTGATTATGTCTTGCCCAAATATGCAGGCTTATTTTGAAAGCACCTATTTTTGTTCTCGATGGTTCTTCGAAATTAGTTCATTCGCGGGCTGTCCACTGAAGTATCGCAAATCGGAAGGGTTAACTGCCTTATCCGATCCTCTTGTGATTTCATTCCCTTCACGAAGTATCAAGCAGGTGTCCTCATTTTGTTCAAAACTAAAGAAGTGCTAAGAGGCATGGAGAAATCTCTTTTCTAAAAAGACCTTCTTGCTTGCGAATGCGATCATTCAATTCGAAATCGCATTATCCGAGAGGTCAGTCTAACCACAATTCATCTGGAAAGCCTAACGTAAACCGACGGTTGGCAGGCCATGGTTGGTAGTCCAGCAATCACTAGGTTGGCTTGATGAACAATAACAGGGTCTTTTTCAGACAAGCCCCGCCAATTATCGCCAGCTCCAATATATTGTACCACACAATTATTGACCTATTTTTGATCAAAACAATTCCGTATCCGCACCTAGACTCATTTTGTGCAAACATTTTATCCGGTCGGACGTAAAACCTCAAATGAACTTTCTGACGCTTACAACTCTCCCGTTTCGACAAGGAGACGGCAATACGTTTTTGCAAAGCCACGGAGTGATCCATCAGCAACGTTTGTGCAACAATGGCCACCGAATAACACTTTTAACTGTTTCTGACAGGTGGATTTGTAATGCCCGACAGTGTCAGCAAGAAATCGGTCTTCGAAAGGGAACTTCGCTAGAGTGACCAACTATGGAAATTATGACAGTAATTCTATCCATTTATTGGTGGTCCAAAAAGTTGAGAAGAATCAAATTCTACTCAGTGTAATTATCTATTAGCCACATGACCACTGTTGACTGGAAGAACAGAATAAAATAAATTCCAATGCGGCACACACCAATCTCTAGTGGACAATTACTTGTGTGAGTTCATTTGGAGGCAAAGTTACCGAAAAACGTACCTTTTCATGCAAATTAATAATGGCACGTCCCAATTTCACTTTCTAATAAAAACTAAAAAAACCAATTCCGTATCATCGTTTTTTCTGATCTTTTTTGGTTGGCGGTGGTTGGTTTTTTGGCGGGGCTTATCTGTAAAAGGTCCTCAAAATAATCGGCGTTTACAAGGTCCTGGTGAAACTTTTTATATACCCTATTTGCTCGTCAGACAACGTATATGAACAAAAGTCA